CGAACCTACGATGCAGGGTCAGATACTGGCTACTAGAGGTTCCCGATATCACGCATTCGAAGGGACGACAACGACTCTCTCGAGTCAGCCACATCGCTAAGCGAGGCAGCGAAGAGTTTCCGAGCGGTTGTTCTGTGCAGCTCGGTTTCGACAAAAACTTGCATTTGCAAACCCACCCGTCCTGCTACAACAAGAAGACAACTAATGTACATCCATACTCACTCTCTGCTGCTCAGACCGGATCACGTGAACATGCGCACGCAGCATGGCATCCAGACTGACTCAAAAGGTTTTGTGCAGTTTGCAGTTCCACGGTATTTGATGCCGATCTCGTCTGTGCACCCTCCCCATGTCATAGAAGGGCAGACCACTGTTGAATACATGCCATCAAATTCGACTGGCATGCAGCGATGGCATAGTGGTGGTAGTTTTGTCACCCACCTGGCACGANNNNAGTAGTAGGAGTAGGAGGAGTAGGAGTAGGAGTAGGAGTAGGAGTAGGAGTAGGAGTAGGAGTAGTAGTAGTCGTCGTCGATGTCGTAGTGTAGTCGTCGTAGCAGTTGTCGTAGTCGGAGTACTAGTAGTGGCCGTCGTCCTCGACGCGCTCGCTCTCTCTCTCTTTTTTTCCTCTCTCTTTTCTTTCGGCAGGGTTATGGGCAAGGGAGTCTCTCTCTCTCTCTCCCTTGCTTGCTTGCTTGCTTGCTTGCTTGCTTGCTTGCTTGGGGTTTGGGAGTCAACGACCCCGGACCGTAGGCCAATCCCTCGCGGCTCGCGCCTGTTCGTCTTCTTGGCCCCTATTGGGGGACAGGCAGAAGTGGACATATGGTTAATCCCCCCCGAAAACACCCCTCCTAAGACCATGACCAGTGAAGATCCCCGTTCTACGTAGCTGCTTTCCGGTCGAGCTCCACTCTTCCGGGGCTTTGTCCGTTCCGTTGGCTGTCCCACTTTGGGCCTATCGACTCGACCTGCATAAGCACTCTACCGGCTTAACCCAACCTACCTGCCTTCCCACCTGATCCCGAACAGAACCTCACGGCAGCACTACCTTCCACCTTCCCACCCCCGAAGCCTCTACTTCTTGCCGCATCAGTCCCCTCCCTCTCTGGCCGTGTCTCTCGCTGTGTGTAACACACATACATACTCTCATACTACAGTATGTTGTATCTCGCCTTACTACATCATACCGCATCATATCAGGCAGGCAGCAAACGCACCACGCAACAAGCACCGTGAAATTCTAATCACATGCAGTCTGTAATAACTCCTGTACATGTCCTCTACAACAGGACCACAATAGTACGTCCATGCACGTCTTCAATACAGCCAACCGTAGATGTTGCAATGATGCAAACAACTTGCTGGCCAATGGCGAGTATTAAACGAATGCTAATTAGAAATGTTTCCACAGCTTGAGTCCCGGCGATGCAAACACAACTTGTACTGCCCCGAGCCCGGTTTCCGTTAAGTTTCCTCAACTTTGACAGTTCCGACCGTAGGGCCCGTGGGACCGTGGCCTGGACAATTAGCTCCAAGTGGCATCAGAATCACGCTCACCTTGGCACATGCTTTCGGTGTGCTGGCGAATAGAAGTTCACCGAATGCGCAACCTTCAAGCACATGCGAAACCGAAAAAACTGTACTTGATTCTACAGGTCGCCAACAGGCCAACAGCAGAAGCCGCGATGGCTGCACGAGGACCGCAATCCATCGCTCAAGACGTACTCTGTACCGTTCTTCAATAATGCTTTCATCCCGAGTGCAAGCTGTGGCTTGCCAGCAGCGTTGCATCTGGTCAGTCTTTACTCGTGGGGAGCTCAATCTTGCCGACCGTTCGTCCCTGCTTATCCTGCTTCTTGGGCCAATCATTTCTTGCAGTGTGTCGGAGCAGATGTAGGACAAGGGCTGCAGCTGACTCCATGCTGTCACCTCTGCGCTGTGAACAGTGAGCCCCTTCCCTCCCATGACATCTGCCTGGAGACCTTCGATCTCCTTCAACTTCTTTTTGCAAAGTTTGTGCTGGTTTCTCTGTGCCTGGCAGGCCGCAGAATCAGAAAGCGAGTGCCTCCTACGCCATCGATGGAGCAAGCGGACATGACTCATGCCTAAGCCCTGCAGCTAACAGCACGTGACTGCCCTGACAGCTCTTGGGGAGAGGCCGCGCTCAGTCTCTTCAGAGGATTGCCTGTAGCATCAAATGTTTCCCATGCGGGGCGTTTCCATGGTATAGCCCTACCCATAGGCTCCTAAGTAGTCCCTTTTTATGGTTCATATTTAGAATCCTATAAGGTAATCCCAAAAAGGAACTACTAAGGAGCCTATGGGTATCCTAAAAAGAAGCACATCAGCCATGCTTTCGCGTGGAAGGGCACCGGGTCCGCGACTCGAGGCAGTCGGTGCTACTGGCTGAGTGCTCTCCTCCGGCTCCGCAGCCGCCTGCCAGACTCCGAGTCCGTAAGCGTCGGTATATAATATATACTATATAATATATACTATATTAGTTACTATATGATATATAATATATACTATATAATACATAATATACATACTATATTAGTTACTATATAATATATAATATATAACATACAATATATAATAGGGGCAGGGCCAGGCAGGACGTGGCACAGTCTGCCGCACCTCAACGGAGGCCTCCGCGGCTTGTTTCGCAGCCAGTGCTGCAGCCGCCTCTGCATCCGCACGTTCCTGGCAGCTCTTACATTGCCACTCCCTTCAAATCTACAGGCGACACAGGGCCTTGGCTTCCTGGGCCTCCTTGGCCTCTTTGGCAGCCTTTGCTGCTTGAGCCTGTCGCAAAGCCAATCCCAAATCACAGCCTTTGTCTGCTGACCTCCGATGTGCAGCGGAAACCTCCTGTTCCTGTTGCTTGCGTCGTTCAGCTTGCTCATCTGCGCGACGCTGCTCTGCTTCCTCCTCCTTCTTTTGGCGATCGGCCTCCTTCGAGAATAATGTCGGACCAAGCATGCAGAGGTGCGTAATTACGGCAATCATTTAAGGAGTGCTCATGTGCAGCAAGGTGCAGCAAGTTTTTGCTATGTGGACGGCCTGTAGGGGGTTTCCCTTTTTTGCTGATGCGCCGCGCCCACTTGTTGCAGTCATCATGTCATGGGACCACAGCAGCCCCTTTCAGCTGTCACATGGTCTAGTTCTGGACGTGCAGCACTAAGCTCGGCCCAAACGGCTTTGGTTGGGCTTGATGCTGGGAGGACTCACGACCAGCCAAATCTGTTCCAAATGGAAGATAGCACCTGCCCGTCACAGAATCAAGCAGGCTTCGTATACTCTGATGTTGAAACCAGGGAAATTGAAAACAACCAGCTACCCAGACTCTGCAACGCCCAGAATGGCTGCGGCTGTGGCACGTCAGACTGCGCGCCAGTCTGATCTTGCCTCAGGCTGGCCACTTTTAGTCTTGCCCACACACCGCCCTTGTATGTAAAGTTACCAACGGAGTAAGGGTGCTTTTTCTGCTCTTGCTGCAACTTTTTTTCAGCTTGCAGCTCCTTGGCTTTGCGATCTGGGAAGTTGGCTGCTTGAATACTGTCCGCAATGAGATTCAACGGTCGAGTCAGGTCAATCGTCCTGCTTTCGCAAATTCTGGAATTTCTTTCGCGTCGCCTGGCGCACTTCGACGACATGAACGGCTCTGACTGGTGGTCAAATCTCTGCCGATGACTACCAAGTTCATCACCCGTATCAACCGGATCCTATATACGGGCCACGTTCAACTCCACATGCGCAAAATCTCGGAATGCGGCCTTCAGTGTGGCCTTCCTCTTTTGAAGAATCTTCTTGAGACGCTGCAACCGCGAAGCCATCTCCTGCAACCACAAAATCGAAGGGGCTGGGATTCTCGCAAGTATACCCGGTGAGTGAAAGGCAGGAGCTGAATTTAATTGGTAAGTGTCAGCGGGGCAAACTTGTTCGTGGTCATTCAAGGGCTTCGACACCGGCAACTGGACCATGCATGCAGCGTCGGATGACCCGTGTCCTGAACCTCCTGTGCAGAGAACGCAGCCTGCCAGAGAGTACGCAGGTAATGCAGGAATGTATGGACTGGTCACTTGCAGTGAAGAGATTTCGCCCCGAGTCGCCTTCTTTTGTGGGCTGTGGCTGTGCTTCATGGCCTCAATCCTTAGCATCCATCTCGAGTATCATGAGGTCCAGACGAGAACCAGTATTTTGTCCAGTCACCGCTTCTCTTTTTGCCCAACCGTCTTGATGGCCTCCAGAAACATCTCGCACATGGACAGCCGCTCAATGACATCTTCACGAAGCTCCTTCTGGAACTTTTTGATCTCACCTTTGCCGTACTTGATATCCTCCTGCAAGGCAAGTGGTATTGCCTGTTGCTTGTCCTTGCTTCGGCCTGCCTTGAGGCGTGGCGGAAGTGGGAGTGCGGTACACACATCAAATTGCCCTTGCTTCTTAAAACATGAATCTACATGGCCCGCCGCAGGGCTCCTCGATCCACTTCAGGGATTCGTCTTGCCAGTTTTGCTTGGCCTTGAGAGCCGTGATGACATCCTCCTGTTTCTTGGCCAGGGAGCGCGCCTTCGAGCGACTGATAACTGATTTCCCAGGCTGGCACGTGCTCTCACAAGACTCCTGCAGCATCTTGTCGCGAAGCACCAGCTCTTGTTTTTGCATGTCCTCTTGGGCTGACACGGCCTTTCGGCTAATGCCGCCGACGTGCTTCCAACTAGGCGAAGCCCTCTTGATGTCCTCAAACTCCTCTTCTGCGATGACTGCTGCTTTCATCGAATTCTTGGCCTGGCCAGGGGAAAGGCACGCCGGGATGCCCGGCAGTTTTCGATGGAAACTCTGGACTGAGCTACAATGAGGTGCGCGGGGGCGCCTGCTTTTGCATATCACGGCGCTGCTTCCTGGCAGAGCTCGAGTCTGGCTGACCACGCAGTGATGAATGGCTTCACTGAATTGGGCGCTTTCCCCTCATATCGAATGATGTCGTAAGCAATGGCCTCGCTACATCGTAGTCCATTTGGGCTTCCCACTGGCCGTGGTCTGCCATGTCGTCTCTGACGTAGTCGGCCTTTGTGCGCATCCGAGTTGATGCTCCATGACAACCAGAGCGGTAGCACAAGGTCTATGGGTAGAAAATGACTGCACCCACAGCAGCGAGACCATGCACTCTCTGCTCTCAGCTGACTCACCCTTGGAAGTAATATAATATATTACAATATAATATAATATAATCGAATCTAATATAATATAATATAAGAGAGCACCCATGAATTTGCTGGCCCTGGCCTCCCAGTCCGAGCTCTTCACCGGCGGATACCTTGGACGGAGCTATCGCGCCATCTATGCCTGCATTGCTTGCATTGGCCTGGGGCGCATTTTTTGACATTGGGAAGAATTCGAACACAAAAAAGGCGGCCAAGATTCAAAGACTCCAACGTTGACTGCCCTCCTCTTTCCTGCTCGGGGAGAAGGAATGTGCCACTCGTGGGTGGCTAGACTTTGGACCGCCAGTCCTCATGGCTGAAGAGAGCAGCTCCAGGCAACCTCGCGACAAACAGCTGGCCCTTGGCGCATGGTTGGGAGCTGCTGAATGCGAGCAAGCATCTCAGCGTCTGCGAGGGCTTGGTCAACCGCGAGTGCATCAGAAAGAGGCCATGCCAGCGAGACCTCACGAGGACCAGACCATGCAAGTTTGCACCTTAGTTTCCCAGGGCCCTGGCGAGGACCCTCGCCAGCTGCCGAGGGCACATGCTTCGTTCGTGGACTTGGGGCGACAGAATGTCAACCCTGCTGAGCCAAAACGGCCCCTTCAGCTCGGTCATTGCAAGCTCTGGTTGGCCCTTTAAAGCATCTGAAAAATATAGGTAAATAGGGTCCTCTTAAGCCCTAATAAGGGAAAAGATAAAATATCCCAAAGGTTTACCTAAGCTCCATTTTGGCTGCTGAAACCCGCAATCGCTGACACGCAAGGTGGACATTTACAATACAAATATAATATAACGTAATATAATATTAATATAATATAATATAATATAATATAATATAATATAATATAATATAATATAATATATAGCTCCATTTAAGGGTGGGCATTTCGCTTATAGTCGGCCTGCTGCGCCAGCTGCGCCTCGAGCTGTGCCCGCTCGCTTTCACGCAAGGCCTCTGCTTCCTGCCAGGGACGAAACTTCCGCATCCAGAAATATAGGGGCCTAAATAATTCCCTATACTATTTTGGGGGTTCCTTATCATATAATTATGGTATAATAGTATCCCCCCAAAACCCTTCTGTGCCCACTTGTCAAAGCCACTGTTCCTGCTGACGTCGGCGCTCTTCCTGCATGGCTTCATGTCGGGCAGCCTGGCGGAAAAAGGAGTGGTTCAAGAACTGCCACCCACTTTGCAGATGTCTGCGCTTTGCACCAGGCTGCGCCTCTGCAGCCTTGATCTCCTCGGCTTGGAGCGTTTGGCCTGGCAGATCACCCCACATCCCCGCATCACAGGGTTGACTACTTCGAATTACCCTTCACTTGTCGCTTTGTTATGCATACATTCTCTGTGCTCTCGCTGCGGTTAAGCCAATATCCCAGCCGTTACTGCTGCTATAACTACGAGTACGGTTGACGGATGTTGTCGACGTACTGGTGACAAACTGCAGATGCAACATCCCACAGCCCATGGAATCCGAGGTTCCGACCCTCCTGGACAGAAGCGATCGCGAGCTTGACCTGCTTCCGAAATTACAGGGCACATCCGATGCACCACGGTAGTAGTCATAGCTTGCAAAAGATGTTATCGTTGGAGTCCTTGCGTATCAAGACTAGTACGGTTATTCAGTTTGACCGCAAGAAACGCCAGTTGATCAGCCATATGATTGGTCTTGCAGCAATGGGATGTATGATGTGGGCAATGCTCGTTCTATTCGCCGTCTTCGTCTTAGTCCTTTCACGAGGAGTTACGTTCCGAAGCTTGCTGCTGACTGGCCTCGGTGTAGCGCTCCTCTTCCTTCAGCTCAAGGCCACTCACCTCTCCAGCCGCGAAGACTCGAGTGAATGATGGCGATCATGGTGGTAAAACGGTTGTGCCACTAACCCTGGCTTGCTCCCGTCATTAGCCTTGCCCTCCAAGGAGGACAAGCGCTCGTTCACCTGCCACGGATGTAGCTAGGTTGAGCGCAGATCTGCTACGGCAGCAGTGAAGGAAGCCGATTTTCTATTGGCTTCTGGTCTTGTTTCGTTGAAAGCTCAGGCTGGAGCCTGCTTTTCCAAGAGAGCAACGCGAGCCGACTGGCTGGTGAGCTGAGCCTGCTTGGTGTTGTAAACGGCTTGGCAGGATGCCTCGCTTTGCCCTGCAGTGCACCTCCTGATCTCGAAGTTTCCGAGTTGCTTCCTCGACGGCCTTCAACTGATGGCGCGGTCTCCGAACAGCCACATCAAAGGCGAGGGCGGACCTTGCACTGCTCTTGGATGTTCTCAAGCTGTCGTTGCAGTTCCGGGACCAAGGTCAAGGTGACCTGTCCGTGCCAGGCAGAATGGCAGAACTAAGGTAATTCACAGACAGAATGCCCCTTCAACCGCAGGACGGGCCTCCTGCAAGCCCTGTTCAAGCGTGTCGAGTCGAGTGCTGGCAGCCGAGATCTTCTCATCCTGAAAAGTGATTGAGGAAAACTCAAGGGCACACAGTGCCACAAGAGGACCCTGAATAGTAGGATCCTTATTATAAGGACCCCCAAAATAAGGTACCCTCCCACAACGGCTCTCACGACTGACTTCACGAGCAACGCACAAGTGACGCAGCCTGCTTCTCCTGTGTCGCATCGACTTTGGCCTTCAAGGGCCGCTGCTGTCTCAATGTGTATACCCAGAGGCCCCAAAATAGTTCCTTTTTGGGATTATCTTATGGGATTCTAAATATAAACCATAAAAAGGAACTACTTAGGGGCCTATGGGTATCTTTTACATACGTGAAACATCATAAAACCGCAACAGCCGCAAGTCTGGAGCCAGTAGAGCCTGCTCCTCAGCGAGGCTTTGAAGGACTTCCTGCCCAAACTGGTATTGCAGGGGTTTGGTTAACTGATCTGCCACCGTACGCTGAGACTTACTTGCTCGTCCGCCTGGGATTCTGCAAAAACTCTGCGCAAAATATCCCAAGTGCAGGGAAGCATTCTGGGCTCTTGAGCTTCGCTTGCCAATCACATGCCTGCAGCTTCGAGAGTCCCAGGAGTTCTGACATGTCTCCAATCCTTGGTCAGCAAGGGTGCACCACTTCTGACGTTGCAGGCAGAAGTTGAGGGGGCGACCTGCTGGTAGCGCCGTTCCCATTGTTGGCGCCTTGCGCCGCCATCTCGAAGGCGGGCAACGACCTTCCCTGAGCAGGTTCGCAATATTTTCAGGCCCCGAATCCCGCCACCGTTTGCATAACTCATCACCGAAAAAGCAGCCCCCGTCCCGTCCCCGCACATTGGATGCACGGGCGACTACGTGTTCGAAGTGCCAAGACGGAACTCTGCTACTGCTTTCCGGCGACTTCCCTCGGGACATGCCCTCTCGAACGGAAATCGCAGTTGCGCATGTGACACCGAACAGCCTGCCTCGCGAGAAACTGCTATATGATCCACAGGCTAGCAAAAGTTCTATCTACTTCCAGCACTGTCCAAGGCAGCGGAAAGCGCAAATCAGGCTCCAACACGCTCCAACCATGAAGCGAGGCAAAGCAACACGGCACAGCACAGAAAAGCGCTTTTGTTTTTTTTTGCACAAGCGAACTGCGGCAGTCTGCCGACCAAGCGCCAGGTTGCCTCTTCCACTAGACAAGAAGGTGCAGCAGACTCTGACATCTGCAGTCAGCCGCTGGGCCTGGGCAGCTGACACCTTGATCTGGCGAACCGAGTCCTGCAAAGCGCAACGTGTGGCCGGAGCAGTGAATGCTCTGGCCCTGCGCACTCTAACACGGAAAGCAGTACAGCCTCGACTCGACTGGCTCCTTTTTGGCATGCACAATGTGCGTCTACCAGTAGAGAGTACCATGCGGCAGATTCTCTCAGTCAGCTTGAAAGCTGGACGTGCCACTCTCCAAACTGCCAGAAGCACCCGGCAAACATCGCTGTGTAGGCCTCATTTGCTGCAAGCAGCTAAACAACTTCCGACCCCACGAAACAGGGGTCTTAGGTCTTAGGTGCCTGTGAGCATATCGCCAAGACCCACAAGAACCATCAGCAATTCGCAAAGCAAGCCCCGACCGCTTCGATGTGGGGACACTTACTTGAAGTTTGGAGCCGCCACAATTATCGTTGTGGCGTGCATAGAATGCATGGCTCCCTGTGTCTACATGCGTACATGACATGGGCATCTGCAGTTTCATGTTCATATGGATGCGGGTGCATGTATGTCAATGTCTGCGTGTCTGTCTACGCAGCGCAAGTGTAGCTGTACACAAGGTAAGACATGGTGAGACACATTTGTACGTACATGTAGGTGTGTGCATGCCTGTGCGGCGACTATGGCGGCTTGAATTCCAAGCTGCAGTAGGCCGAGCTGTGTCGCTCCATCAGCCGTCCATCCGCCTTGAGTCCGATCGCAGATCTGACAGGAAGTCGTTGCCGTCGGACGAGGTCCTTTCGCCATAGCCTGTGTGAGAAGTTGCAGGAGAAACTAGTCAGAAGAGGCTAGAATCTAGAATGACTATGAATGCGCATGAAGGCCACTCTCAGGGTTTTCGGGACAAAACGGGCGCCTCCAATTGGGCCAAACATGCCGAAGGGTGAAGAGAAAAGAGAGGAGTTCGCTCCAGGCTCGTTGAACATGCCCAAGCGATCCAATGAAGAATCAAAGAAGTCCTGCCAATCTCGAGGCGCTCTAGGACTCTACACGCTCACGAGACGCAAAGAGACACTCGTCCTGCATCCCCGAAGAAGAGCCCGGCTGTTGGAGTCTCTGAGGCTGTTTCGGCCCTGGCATGCCTGGGGCGATGCCTGGTGGGAGGCCAATGGCACCCAAATTGCCGAAGTCCAGCCCGGGCGTGCCAAAAAAGCTGTCCGTCCCAAGCCCCTGCACAGCTGAGACTGCTGCAGCCTCTGCTGGAGCCAAGCTGCCAGGATCAGGGGCGTAAGGATTGGCAATGCCGGGTGGAGGCCGGACCGGTTGCGGGGAGAGGCCTGGAGCAGGGCCTGTCAGGAGAAGTCCCAGGTCAATACCCGGAGGCGCTCGCACAGCGCCTCTCTCGCCCATGTCCTGTGCTGGTGCCGTGCTCATGGGACTGATGGCCTTTGGCTTGATGGGAGCTGCCTTGCTTGGTGCCGGGGGCGGTGGAATGGAGGGAGGTGGGGGAAGTGGCATGGAACTGGATTCTTCCTGCAACATGCCACTTGGTTGACTCATGAAATCACTTGGAGACTTGTTGTCCATCCAAACGGAATTCACAGAATTCAGGGGTACAGGGGTTTGTGGCACTGGCTGGGTCTGCATAGGTGGTGCTGCTGGCGGCAGCGTCGGGGGTTGCGTGGGCAGTTGTGACGGCTGTGCTTGGGACGGGGCCTTTGCTGGAGCAGGGGGCACCGTTGGAGGCTGGCTGGGCGGAGCTTTTGTTGCAGAGGCTCTCTCTTGCTGTTCAGAGCGCCTCGCCTTGGAATCCTTGTGTTCCTTAAGCTCTTTCTCCTTTTCCCTGTCTTTCTCCTTCTCCTTCTTCTTCGCGGCTTCTTCCTGGGCGCGCTTCTGGTTCTCCCTTCTTGTCTCCTCCTCCCGCCGGCGCTCCTCTGCGCGCTCCTCCTCGCGGCGCCGGGCCGCGATGGCTTGTGCTTGGGCCGGTGCTGGAGGGGCTTGCGTGGGTGGTTGGGGCACTTTGGCTTGGTGTGGTGACTGATCTGTCTCATGCTTCTCGGCCTTCTTCTTGGGCTTTGGCTCCTCCGTTTTCGCTCCCTGCGGCTGAGACGGGCGCTTGTCGCTGTTCGCAGTCGCAGCAGGCGCAGCAGGCGCAGCAGGTGCTGGTGACGCCTTCGGAGGCGGGCTCTGATTGCTCGGAGCTGAGCTCTTCGGAGGCGCGCTGGGAGGCGCGCTGGCGCTCTCCTTTGGTCCCTTTCCTTCTTTTTGCTTCGCCGGCTGTTTGGCTTGAGCTGGAGCAGCTGACTGCTGCTGGTTCTTTGGGGTCTGGGCTTGGGTTGTGTGTGCTTTTGCCTGCGACTGCGAAGCTTTTGCGGCCGCTTTCGGCGGCGCTGCTGCGGTGTCCTGCGAACCTGAAGCTTCCCGTGCCTCCGCACGACCGAGATGCTGAGCTTGGAGTTGCTGGAGTTGCTGGAGCTGCGCCTGGTCGAGGGTAAAGCAAAAATGAGCTCATGGCGTTGCTGCTTTCCATATTGTTTGAAAGGACTTCCATCAGGCTTCAGCACATCTTTTTTTTGCAGCAGGCTGAAAACGCTGTGACGCCTGTTGCATTCACAGCTCTTGCAGCTGCAGGCTGCCAAGCACGGCCCAAAAGGCTTCACGATTACCTATCGGCGCAGCTTGAGATGAGGGCTCTTTGCAACTTTGGAATCCTTGTCGAAAGCTATCGCCGGCAGTCCAGTTTGGAATGTAGGAATCACAGATGTCGCCGGTGGAGCATGGGGGCTGAGAAGACCTCCGCAACAAATCAGCTTGTGCTCCTTTCTCGCCCGGATTTTCCGGGATCCTTTGATTGCGCGTGATCGCGGTGCCAAATGCTCCCCCTGTCCAATAATCGCATCGATGATAGGAAAGTACGTGTGAGGCTTCAGCACTCTTCTTCGATTCAACCCGGTCCACGGCAGCAGCCGTCTCATCACTCCACCAGGGAAGAAACACGTGTTGACACACTGGCCCAATGCAAGGGACACCTTACACAGAAGCATGTCAAGGATCCCGACACCCACATCACATTACACACTATCCTGCACCGTGAAAGATCGCCGGCGATTTCTGAGAGCAAGCTGCTTTTGGGTGATCGTATAAGACCTCGTGGAACACTTGAGATCGTGTGGAGAACACATACACCAACACGCAAACACCCGTTTTGACTTTAACGCTTTGTGCAGAACATGCCGCAGCATCACGTGGGCGTCACGCACGTGCAACAATGACAGTGTCTAGACAACTGTGAGTTGAAGCCTCAGTGTCAGAGGGCCACTTGTTCAATCTTCAGGGTTGACATGAAAGTCAACCTCCAATGGCTAGACAAACGTTGCATTAAACTCGTTTGCAGTGTGACCCTGGGATTGACCCTGGGATCAACAGCTGGGCTAACTGAGCAAGGGTGCTGTATGCGACGCGAGACCGCATTGGTGGGCGGCTGTGCCCGATGATGCAAGCGTAGAGGAAGCGTGCGTGCAACAGAACATCATCCAGCCGCCATGTTACACCTCGCTTACGGAACCAGGTTGCAGCAGCTTGGAAAGCGAACAAAGATACAGAAGCAGACTGACAAACAGACACAAAAACAAGCAGACACGTGCGCACACTCCCAGACAAAGCTAGCAAAACCACTCAATGAGAGTGAGAGACATAGTAAAGAAAGAAACCGACAAACAGAAGAACAACCCAACGGAACAACCAAATATCGTAAACAGACTGACAGATTAAACACAACCAGCACACAAACAAATGTACAAGCGAGCACATCAGCAAGCACACAAGCGCGCGCACGCACGCGCACACACACACACACACCCACACACACACACACACACAGAGACACAGGATGACACAGGCACAGCGGCCCTCGCTGGATTGTAGCTGTGTGTGCTTGCATCGCTAGCACATTGGCAACATCCCACCATAGTCCGCCTGCAACTGCTGCTGCTGCTCCTTCAGCTGGTCTTGCTGGGACACTTCCGGCTGTGGCGCCCGTTGTGACGCCGCCTGCGGTGCCTGCGCCGCCGACCTGTGGCTTTCACTGCGGCTCAAAATGCGAAGCTCGGCTTCCCCTCCGCTTGCAGCCGAGGCTTCCGCGGCTCGTCCTGAAGCTGGACTCGTTGCACCGGCTCCTTGTCCTGCCAGGACTCCCTGATGCACTGACACGCGCGTGAGCTGCGTGTTCCTAGATGTTACTGTCGCCCCGAAAGAACCTCGCAGGTCTTTTTTCTTCTGCCAGGGATAGGGACAGGGGTTGCCCCCTGGAGGTTTCTCTTTCTTTCGGAAGGGATATGAGCAGGGGAGTAAACGACCTCCTCTCTCTCTCTCTCTCTCTGCGGTATGTGTGCTGGAGTCTTGCACTAACGAGACATTCTGGATTGTGAGATCATAGGGAGACGTCCCCATGCCCGTGACGTACCTGCAAGGCCCGAACATGCACCCTCAAATTGCTGCTGGGGCCATAACTTGCCATGATGATGACGA